CGTCTTCCAAGGCCCTCCTTCTAGTTTCTAATGTTGTTTTAGGGCAATGGATGTCACACGTGGTGTTCACCTGTTTTGGGGGTGGTGTGCAAAAACTTTGGGGGGCTTCTTGACATCTAGGAGGTGTCCCACTACTCCCCACCACTTGCATACAGAGAAAATCTGTATAACGCCATGTCACGGTGGGCTGCAGCTTTTGATCCCATCGATCGGGTTTCCTTCGGCGGCGCCCCCATGAGAGCCCTCAGGCGTGGCTTTGGCGTCGACCCTGCGAATGGTTTTCCATTAAGCCTGCAAAAGGTGATTTACCTCCATTCGAGCTGCATGGAATCTCCCACGTATGGCTGATTAGGATAAGGGTTTCCCCTGCTATGGAACAAGCCGGGGGGAAGCAAAGCTAGGGTGCTCCCCATTGACATGTAATGTCCCCCCCTGGTTTCCTGAAAAACGAGCCATGCCGAAGTCAGTTGTTCAACACCGACCTTGCACTCTTTTGCACTAGCGAAGCTCCCCCAAAAGATCGCCGTTTTCCGGGTGCATAAGGGGCGAGTGGGCTACAAAAAGCGACTGACCAGGCGATCTTGGACCTTTGCAGCTCCCGGGGCTCCGTGGCGTCGCCGCTCGGATGGGAAGGGGTGCAAACGCGCCGAAGGCCCAAGGCCCAGTTTTCTCGGGGGAACCGCCCCTGCTTCGCAATGTGTGGAAAGGGGGCTACCTATAAAGGAAGTAAAAAATGATATGTGGAGGGAGGGGGCGGATTCATTTTTGGGGGGGTGGGGACTTACCGGTGGTTGCTCTTCAACATTTTTCCCAAAGTCGAAAACGCAAAGCCAAGCTTTGAAGCTTGTATTTGTTGCAGGATTTAGCGGCGCTGCCCAAACTAAAGCCTGAGCGATAAAAAGGTTTTAATGGTTTCTCTCTAAGACATTCTTACAAGGAGGATCCATGAACAAGGGGCACTCTTATTGGGAACACCACCCCCAAGCAAGGAGGGGGGAAACAATGGTCATGGAATGCCGCCTTTGCATTGGTGTTTCGTGAGTGTATGGAGTACTGGGCCTTTTTGCATTTAGCCGTTTTGCTGCCTAGTAGTTTTTGGAAGCGCACCAAATGCACCAAGCTGGGTTTGTCGGACCTACCTCTCCCAGCATAAGGATACAGTTGCGGGAAAGCGGTTTGGGTTCGCACTTTGCTCTTTTGGTTGTGCAGCGCTAAACAGCCCTGAAGTGTGATTTTCCTAGAAAGGAGGCCAACAGTGTTGGGCAATGGCCTTTTTGCTCAAGCTCTCTAATGTTGACTTCGAATCAAGCTGGAGGAGCCTACTTGCTAGCAACGGCGGAGACAGAGAGAGAGAGAGAGAGAGAAAGCGAGAGAGAGCCTACTTGCTAGAAGACCCCCCCTCAAAATAGATAATTTCCCTACTAATCGGGGAACCATGACTGAAAGTCGCACGGTCCTCCGGAATAGTCCGAAGCCACCATTTGGCGCCTTCCGCAGGTAACACACATGCGATCGCATCCCAGGCGCCCGGATGACAGACCGCTGAACTTCTGCATCAGGCGCATGCCCAAACGGCGTCGGACCTTTCGGAACGAGGAAAAGGTTGGAGACCTCAATTCAACCGGTCTCCACCTTTCAAACTTGGGGTCATGACCCTTTATATGGGGGTAGGCTTGATTTTGAAAGGGGAGTGAGATTCCAAAATCGGTTTGCATCAGTTGCAGCCATCCGCATGTTTTTGTTGGGAAACATCAAAGGTTGTGGGTTGCTTTGGGTTCGCACGGCTTCCCCATCACCTTTGGGTTTGAAGGAAGGGGGTTGGGATGGCCTTGCATCTTCAGTCCGGGTTCTTCGGACTTGCGAAAGGACCAACGACCCTGTCCGGGACTGGCTTGTGCGAACTCTTACCTGGGGCTGCCATTTGTTCGGGATGCTTGGGGGACATCCTGCTGCTTAGTTTTAAAGAGAAGGCAAAAGCGCATGCTTTCGATATTTCAACACAATGTTCGCCGTGTTCGATCTCCGCCTCGCCTTGTTCAACGCGGCTGTGCGAGGCGTATGGTCTACTGCGCTGTGCTTGGAAGCAGCGATTGCCTGGTGGCGGTGGTGCTGGACACGCCCTCAAGGGGGAGCTCGGCTCACGGGTCTGTGCTCTACTTGGGCTTGGAGGTGGGGAGTCTTTGGAATCGCTGGTGGGGTGGGGTGGGGAGGAGTGGGGTGGGGTGGGGTGGGGTGGGGTGGGGAGTCTTTGGAATTGCCTGGTTACCATTGCCATCTCCGCTTTCAACATGGGATTGGACGGGGGAGGGGCGGGTTGACCCTCGTGGGAGAGCAACCTGCTTGGCCGCCTCTGCTTGCTTGCGCATAGGGTTCTTCCCAGAAAGCCACATTTCGGAGGTTTCTCATCCAAGGCTTTTTCTCGGATCTTATGTAGGTGCCGGGAGGCAACCAGGGGGATGGAGAGCAGGGAGGTGGGGAGGTTCAATCACACTCAGCTGTGCAAGTCTAATCGGATTTGTCTTGCGTAAAGGGTATGGACTTTTCATACCGCGCGGTTTGGCTCTAGGTATGGGGTTGGGAACCCTCGAAGATGGACAGGCGCCTATCCTGTTTTCCTTTTGTGGTCCTCCAACCCGGCCGTTTTATTGAACGCACGAACAGGGAAATCCAGCGACACTGTGACACCAAGGAAATCCGCTTTGGAGTGATGAAACGACCGGATCCGCAAGTCCCACTTGCATACCCATATTTAAGGATTGATTTGGGCATGTACCCTGGACATTGCTGTAATTATAGCCCGTTCATAGTGATGGACTTTGAGTATGTCCATTTGGGGTACGTCAAGTGACAAGCCTTAAACAGATCGGCTTTCCCCATTCTTTTCAGGGAGCCTTCTTGCCGGAAGACCGTTGGAAGCCGTACAGGCCGATTTCTTGTCACTGCAGATTGCCCCATGGCTTTCGAATGGTTTGGTTAAACTCGTTCTCACTTCCTGAGTTGCTGGACTTTAGACTGTTTGGGAAGACCATTTCAATGCTCAAAAAGCTTGGATGTGTTTTGGCCCATTCACTCAGGAAGTGAGTAAAAATGGGGGTACACGCCCAGAGAGAGAGAGAGAGAGAGAGAGAGAGAGAGAGAGAGAGAAAGAGAGAAAGAAAGAAAGAAAGAAAGAAAGAAAGAAAGAAAGAAAGAAAGAAAGAAAGAAGGAAGGAAGGAAGGAAGGAAGGAAGGAAGGAAGGAAGGAAGGAAGGAAAGAAGGAAAGAAAGAAAGCAAGCAAGCAAGCAAGCAAGCAAGATAGAAATAGAGAAGAATGCCAACTTGAAAGTAGAGCTGAACACAAAAGACTTCATTTTGATCAAGATATGCATTCCCCTCCAAACATTTTTTGAGAACCGCCAGGTCGACCTGGACGGCAGTGCGCGCACCTGGTCCGCGAGCCCTGCGTCCACATACACTCAGTCTCTGGAGCCTCAGGCGGGGCAAGGCTTGCCGTTCAATTCGGGAACGTCCTGCATGTATCTGCATGGCTGGGGTCAAGATTGAAGAAATGAATAAAGAATGTGAGGTTGCCCTTGTTTTCCGATGGGTAATTTTGGGGATTTGCACCCCTTGTCCTTTTTGGATGGCAGATGTGACACCGCGGAACACATCGAAACCAGCGGGCTCCAAACCTCTTGCAGGGAAGCTGAGAATGGTTCATATTCAAGGCAAACCGGATATTACGTACAGGTGCCACCCCCAAGATGAAATTGAACCAGCAAACTATGGACACTTTTAACGCGTTGAATCCCGAATTCACGAAAGTCCTTGTCAGGGTTTCTCGAAGGCTGCATCGAACTGCCGGCTTGACAAGGATTTGGATCCTCTAAATCAGTTGCTTTGCAAGTAAGTCCACCATCTCAAACGCAAAGACATGAACAATGACGGTCTTGAGGGTTTCCTTGTTCCCTTCCTTGTACTTTGAGCTGGCATCCGGCGTATCTTTGTACTAGGAAATCCCCCCTCCCCCAAGACACGAGCACAAACACTCACAAGTGCAGAGTCGCTGGTGCAAGGGTACCTTCGGCCATGGCGCCTCGGAAAAAGGGAGAACAAAAAGCCATGCCGCCCCACTTTTTGCCGTCGTTTTTTTCTTTGGTTGGCAAGGACACCCCGACCAGCACGCGGCTGAATAGCATCGTGGCCAACGATGTGGTGGCCCAAGCGTTGGAGGACTTCTGAAGTCCCGGGCCTTTGGTGGCGCAACTCCCCGTTGTCCACGTGGCCAGGTGGCCAGGTGGAGTCTTTTGGGGTGGCTTTTTGATTACGGGCGGAAGGAGAACCGAAATCCCTGGTTGGGGGCCACCGGAGATTTTGAGACAAATGTTTGTTAAGCTGGTTGGAAGGGAGCCGTTCCGAAGCCGCGGGTAGCCTTGTTTGCCTGGGAGGGAGGACTTTGGAGCTACTGATCGGAGGTCTGTAAGGACATGGTAGGGGACCTTTCTTCTAGAACGTGAACATCATGAGTTGGAGGGGGTTTTGCTAAGTTCCGATTTTTGGAGGGGACCCGCTTTTGGCATCAAACAACAAATCAACGAATCAGATAGTGCGTTTGTTTTCCGAGGAGGGTTCCCTTTGAAGTTCCTATAGGGGGAGTTCCGCTTGGAGGTCGGGCCTTTTGAGGCCCGAAGCGAAGCGAATTTTCTCACTTGCCCAGCGAGTCAATGATCAGTTGCTTGAAATGCTCCACTGGTTCAATGTCAAGCCAACTGTTTGGTTCACCTGGCGAACCCAGAGCCGACAGGTACAGGTGGGAACCGTCACGTAAGGGATGGAGAACAACTCCTGGTGACGTAGTGGGAGCTGGAAGCACTGGCACCCCCTTGGCCAAAAGGTCCTTGTAAAGACTTATAAGAGGACCATAGCTGCCCGCGAAAGATCCGCGAAGCAGTCTGCGAAATATATTTTGCTGTTCGTGAAAGATTTGGCATAGGCTTCTCGGAGGCATGCTTGTACTTTCGTGTATTTGCAGGGTGGACAAGCAATTTTACATGCATCCTGGACTTCTTGCCGGTGTTGGGAATGGCAAGTTTCTCGCACGACCCGCGAAACCCGTGGAGCTTGTAGCAAGGTTCCGCACTTTAGGTCCAGGATGGAGTTGCGCGAAATATGTTTTTCCTTCCAAGGATTGCGCTTACCGGTGGCAAGACTACTGATCAGCTGCTTGTTTTGTTCATTTCTCAAATTGCCACAAGGTTTCCCCTCTGCAGATCCAAGAAAGGCGTCAAGGAAGACATGGTAAGCTTCAGGTGTGCCTAGTGTGTTCTCGTCGCAGGCTTTCCACCTTGTTGAGAAAACAAGCCTTCGCTTGTGCTCAAGGCTTCAGGCTCGTAAGGGTCAAACCTTCGGTTTCCTTATTTGCTGTGAGGTTTTGTGAAATTTGCCCGTTTTTTTTGGATGACTATTGATCGACGGCAGCTCAAGTAGCTTTGGGAAAGTGAGAAAGCCGATGGCGGAGGTACTCTGAAATCAGGAGGACACCGCGGGACTTTAGAAAGTTAGGAAGTGGGCTTTTTTCTGCCAGGCATGTCGGCAGTTGCGTGCGCAGGAATTGATCCTCACGTTGCCCCCTGGTAAGATTGCGTTCTTGGATTCGGCATTCTCGAAGATGGGTCCTATTTGTTTATCCGCTGGTGCTTGTGTTGCCATTGTGTTCCGCTTTCTGGCTTCCGGCCCCGGAAAGGCTTCAGGTTCAGGCTCGGATAAATCAGTCACAAGCCAGTGGGTTGCACAGCCAAGGCACCTTGTTTGGTTGGTGGTTTGGGGATTTGGACCCCGGAGAGGGGAACCATCCCCAAACCTCCGAACCACCGCCTTGAGTCCGGGTTCCAACAGCTTATGATGTCATTTCCGAGTCCTTCTGGCACAGCGGGTTGTAACTTCATTGCTTCTCAGCCGGGGAACAGGAATGCATACCAAAGGCGGCACGACATCATGTTCGCACTTTTCTCCCGCTCATATCATGTTAAGGGGGAACCCAGGTCATATGTCTCTGCTTTATGATGCGAGGGTGCAACGTTTCAGAGGGATGTTTCATGTTTGAGGCAATGCCCCCTCTGTTTTCCATCGGGTTGATGAATCCAGGGTGGCGGGCTGGTCAACGATACAGCATGCATTTCGGTGTGTCCGAGAACACAGGATCCTGAACATGGTTGTTTTCCCCCTGGGTTTTCCTTCAACGATTTGGACCTTCATCCAGGGTCAGCATCAGCTATTCGCCGTTATCGTTACACTGCTGAAAATGGCGTGGGCCGAGCATAGAATTGGCATGGATCGAACTCCGAGAGCCGTTGCTCGGGAAGTCCGGGCACTTAGGGTGGACTCCACATGGCTCGAATCCACATCCCAGTTTGCTAACAAAAATGCTGCATGGTTGTCTTTTGCGTTTCCTTTACATACCAATCCAACGAAGACACTGAAAGGAAAACCACACCGCAGGCAAACAGCGAACTCACCGATTTGGGGGCAAGACGGGCCAAGCCCCATGAAGGTTCCCAATTCCAGTAGCATCTTCCAAGGGTGATCGAATTTCTCAAGTAAGCGCCTCAGGGCACCATTTCATAGCCCCTTAGGTGGCTTGTGGTTTGAGTAATGTTCGAGTACTATTGCTCCATTTGGGTCAGTCTTTTTTGGCGTGTACTTGTTGTTGTTGTTGTTGGGCTGGGGGGGGGTTGAAGGGAAGCCAAACGGACAACCACCATTTTGGAGGGTCCCCAACAAAATGACGAGCCACCCATTTGAGGAGGCAAAGTTAAGGGTGAGAAATCCGAGTCCAGGTTCCAGCCGATTTTGTTGAAGCCTACTTCTGGTTTTCAAAAACGAGTCCCAGGGTACATATGTGGCTTATGGAGTCCATGCTCCATTTGGGGCCTCGTATTTTGTCACATCCCAGTTCCTTGTTGTTCAAATTAGGCTGCCCAAAACAATCAGTGATATTGGATCGTTTCCAGATGTTTCTGGCTTCCCTTGCTGTATCTAGGGGTGCCATACTACTGATTGCGGATAAGGATTAGGTTATTATTATTTTTTTTATTTCTGTTGTTTTGTTTGAGCAATTTTCCAGTGACTGCCAGTGTTTCGAGGCCACAAGATTATGGATCCTTTGCATTTTCAACATCCCAGGACTGCTCTTAAGGGGGTACAGAAAGACTTGTTTATTTATTTTTACAATGAGGAGAGAGCTGGGAGAATACCTATCAGTAGCCGAGCAGCCCGTCGACTTGCGTCGGCCAAGCCGATTGCCGAACGAAAAGGGCGACGAAAAGTTGTGCGCCGAGAAACTGAGTTCTCGTTTCTAGCGGTGCAATTTCCAGAAGGATTCGAGATGGACTAGATGGCGTTCGGCCATCCAGCGACATGTTTGGAAAACCACGCAACTCACCAATTTTCCGTTGGTCGCTTGATGTAAAAGTTGTTCTGGTACCATCGAGTTTGAACATTTGGATCAGTACGGCTTGCGTATAGGAAACCAAGCGGGGAAGGACATACCAAAAAACCCTCCCCTTTGAGCCAAAGGTTTTCCTGATGTGCTAAGCTGGGGCACCTCTCGGTTCCTTGGCTGTCACACCTTGGTTGGATCTTTAACTTCTTTTGGGGGGCCGGGCAATGCCCGTTTCCAATACCGCTAAAAGTTAGAAGAACAACTTTTTGCCCAGAGGGGGGAGAAGCCAATCTGCTACCAGTGCCGTTCTTGATCAGGTGCCCGCGTCCAAAGCCCTTGCCTTTCCTGCGTTTTCAGTTTAAGTTCAGTTCCTAAGTTGCCGGACTTGATGATTTGTTGGAAGGCCAGTTTAGGTGTAAACAACTAAGTCAGTAAGACCTATTGTGGCCAGTCAGCCAGTCTCACATCTTGAAGTGAGTAAGCCATCAACACGACAAGGCTCAACTTCATGCCGCAGCATTCCGGTCCAAACTTGAAAGCAAGCGCCGCATGAAGAGAGCAACTGGGCCACTCCACTCTTCTTGGCCTTTTGGGCATTAACTCGGGGTGTGCAAAGAAACACTTTGTTGCCTGCCATTACGGGAACACCTGGGCTCATGACATTTGCCCAGTTTTTACGGGTTTTGAGCCCACCGATTTCGGGGGGTGAAACGAGCGCAAAACTCTGATCACTCTGATCTTTATCATCCTTTTGCTTTGGGATTTCCGAGCATTTTAATTGTGACATTAGATGCACTATGGGTGTGCCTTCTGTTTTAAGGGCATCCGTTTGTTGTGGTGTTTGAAGGGAAGCCAAAAGGAAAACCACCATTTTTAGGGGGTCCCCTAAAGAAGAGGAGCCAGGCATACATACAGAGCCCATGAAACTAGCAGGTAGGACAGGTTTCGCTTTCCAGCTTTGAACCCAATGCCCTCGCCGGTCCTCTCCAGCGAGGAGTCGGGTTTGGGTCCAGGTGTCAGGCCTTCCCATCTAAGACGCCCGAGCCTCTGGTTCCATGGCAAACTTAATTCAAACTGCTGGCCAGCTTCTTTTCAGTGACCTCGATTCTTTTTTTGGGGCGCCATTTTTTTTTGGGGGGGGGTTTAAGGGCACTGAGAATATGCTGGGACTGTTGTCTTGACGTTTGGCCACCCAAGTGCTACTTTGTTTGGACAGACTCAGCCAGAGGAGAGGACCAGGGGGTCCAATCTCCCTTTGCAACTGGTTTTTGGGAATGGCCCGCCATTCCAGACAACGTCTCGGTTTTTTGTAATCCAAGTACCTGGGAAAGTATTCCAATGTCCTGTTCCAATGTGTTTGTTTGGAGAGATTCCGTTTTTAAAGCTGATATGGCGTGTTTAGTTTCATGATTGTATTTGGTGCGGACTGCAAAGAACGGCGCTGACAACACACCAGGGGTGAGAATTTGGAAAGTGTCTAATTGAATCTTTGAAGATCCAGGCAACCTGGCTCCCTCAAAGTACCCAGAAAACGTGATTTCACTCATCATATTGGGGCAGTAACCAATTTTCAAGGGTAGCTTCAGGGTCCAGGAGTATGTTTCTTGCAACTGCCCATGCTCTCGTACTTCACTCCAAGAGGGTCCCGGGCTGGCAGCGTTTGGGTTTGTGGGTTTGGGTTCCCACCTTTGTCAAGGTTCCAAAAGGTGTCGTATCCCACTTTCCGGGTTTTTGGGGGCTTTGGGCGTTTGGAAAGGACTTGCTGGTACACAGCAGGTTTGGCCAACCCACTTCCAAGCTGAGAATGTTGCCTTTGGTGGAAACGGTTCTCCTGCGAGGGCACAGTTGCCTGGTTGCTTCCTTTCCGGTTTCGGGGGATGTGTGCTTTGCATGGCATACTCTTCTTTACTTTGTGAATACTCTTTTCGGTATGGGCTTGCTTTTCAGTACATATTGTTTTTTACCAACATGGGGCCAGCAAATTCGGGCCCTCCCTACCCACCAGAATTGTTCTCAGAACACTTCGTAGAACCCCTACGACGTTGGTGGGGCGTGGGGGGCCTAGGTGCTTTGCCCAAACAGGAATCGTTTAGTTTCAGGTGTTGTGGTTGCATGTTCGGTTTCATTCACAGCCCAAAAGGCCGTGTTGCTCGCTCGGGTTGGGTTTCCCCCCAAATGTCTACAGGCTTCGCTATGACCCCCCCCGCCTGAATTTCATGAAGCCTTCGGTCCCGACTCCGCGAGGAGAAGTTCCACAGCGAGCTGTGCGCCGCTCTGGGCCTGGGCCTGCAGCCCGCGAGCTTCGCTTGGCAGGAGCCGACCGCGTCCGGCGCAAGCGCGAGCAGCGCAAGCGCAGCCGGGCCGGCAGGCGGGGTAGCGGCCTGAGCTGCCGAAGGGGCTGGTGTTTTGGGTTGGAGTTGATTTGTTACAGAAAACTCAGCCAGGGGCACAAACCTCCAAACCACCAAGTAAGGCTCACCTGATGTTCTTCCTGTTCAGTCTTGTTTGGTCTAAATTTGTTGTTTCTAAGAACATCAACCAGGCCTCGGCCCCAGCCTGGCCTTTGGAATTCCCAACGAAAAAGGGCCCCTCGACCAAAGACACATTTGTTTCGGATGGCTTGTTGGAGATCGTCAACCGCCCGTTGCTTTTGGGCTTCTTTAAAGATATTTGTTTGGCTGAGCTTTCGTGTTGACCCCTGATTAAGAACCTCCCTCCCCCCCTCTACTTATTAATCAGGGGGTTCCTGGGAGGAAGGAATCTCCACCAAAGGCGGGCCCCCCCTTGGCGACGAGTTGGCGGGTATTCATCAGCTGGGTCAAAGTAGACGGCGCAACTCCCCCTCCATTTTGCTTTAGCCATCCCCTTTGCTTACATGATGGACATTGTGTGATTTGCTTTCATTTGCTTCACATCTCTTTCTAAATCCCCACTTAGAGATTGGCTTTTCCATCATGTGAATCTGGTCAAAATCCATGCATTAATGTAAAACGGCCCGGGGATCTCAAAAGGGCTGGACAGCTCTCGGAGGGACGGTCATACGTAGCCGCCATACGTCGCCAGCTCTTGTGGCCAGGTGACATCGCCGCCTCCAGCGCAGCCACGGTTTCTCGCCACACGCAGCTGCGCGGCGTGGAGCGTGCGGAAAGCGCGGCAGCGGGCGAGGACGGCGAAGGAAGGCGATTGGCTTGGATGATCGTCCCGCAAAAACTTTGGGCAAAATTGAACTTCCGGAACCCGAATTTGGGAAACAACTTGCTACAAGATAGGGAGGTCAAACATTATTGCCCTGGACTCTGTTCCGCGAACTTTTCCGTGACGGTATCTTCAACTGTGCGAAATGGTCCTTCCAATCTGCTAAAGCTCAACTTTGTGAGGGCAGGGGAAATGGCCAGCAAGACAGCTTGCACTCAGAGCTGCTTGCCTGCGTCATGGTTCTTTAGTGGGGATTGTTGACTCTGTTTCACGGGCGGCTATGTGCCTGGTTAGCATTGCAACCAATTAGCCCACCAACCGACCGACCAACCAACCAACCAACCAACAAACCAACAGACCAGGAATTGCCGGGAACAAAAGAAAGGGGACAGCTGCCTGTATTCCCAGCAAGCAGGTTCTGCGAACTTGTGTGCTTCGGCGAGGGATTCTGCGAAGTATTTCTGCAAAGCGCTTCTGCGCGGTTCTGCGAAGCAGGTTCTATACTTCGGTAGTTTGAGGGAAGTCCTGCGAAGGGTTGTGCGAAGTGCTTCGGCGAAGTGAGGCTGCCGTTCTGCAGCCGGGGTGGCAAGTCCTAGGTGGCTGCGCGAACTTGTTCGGTGGGCGGGCGTTCAGAGATGGTGCCCCTTTGTTTCCAGATGAGAATCTGTTCACTTCCACGCGTGCTTCCGCCATTCGCAGTTGTTCAATGCTCGTGCATTCAAGGCCCCTTTCAATTCAACGTGTATTTTGCGGCGAGCTCATCTGGGGGTAAAATGAGCTCACAGTGATGTAGGTCCTTCACTTACTTGGGATGCCTCATCTCAGGTTTTGAAAGCATAGTAGTAGTAGTAGTAGTAGTAGTAGTAGTAGTAGTAGTAGTAGTAGTAGTAGTAGTAGTAGTAGTAGTAGTAGTAGTAGTAGTAGTAGTAGTAGTATCTGCAGAAGTTGGTGAACTATTGAAATTCACCGCTACAAGTTTTGCCCAGTTTGCCTTGCACCCTGCCAGGAGTCTGCCGCTGCAGGAGTGCATCCTGTGGCGCACCCGGGCAATGATCGGTCCAGATCATCTACGCAGAGGTTGCGCGGTTGCAACGGACATAATTACCTTGAATCGAATCTTGCATTTTCAATTTCATTCCTTTATCCTTAGGCCAAAAGATGGTGGTTCCCTTGTTGTGGCGGTGCGCCTGCAATTGTGGGACGCACATAAATCTCCCATTTTGAACAACCCAGCGTGGAAGCGTTTTTCTCCCTTCATGGCACATTCGCTTTTTCACTCCAACTCCTTGAGCGATGCTGGGGTATGGCTTGCACATCGAAATGTCTTGGGTGTCAGCCCCCCCCAGCTTACCTCCCCCATCCCCCTTGTTTCCTCCAAACACCATCATTTTTCTGGTTCCATTGTGGCTACAGCAATAACAGATGTGCATTTTGCTTGGATGTTAGGACTTTTAACATTTTGTCAGCTAATGGGTTTTCCATTGAACCACTACAAGTTCAACTTTTCGCAGGGGAGCAGCAGGGGAGCAGAAAGCAATCGAGAGCAAATCGCCGCTGCGGGGTGGGCTGGAGCGAAGCCGGAGGCTAGCGCTTCTACTCCAAGAGCTCCGCCAGCTGCGCGGAGAGACGCGACAACTCCTGAGCGCTCGCCAGCGCGCCTGGCGCGAGTCGCACGCGAGCGCTCTCGAATTTGCAGGTGGTGCCGAAATGGGAGGAGCTGCGAATGCAGGAGTCGAAAGTGGACGTGGCGACTTGGGAAACGTGGTGTCCAAATCAAGCCTTTGTTTGGTTCTGTGTGTTTTTTGGGTGGGGGGGGGAAGGAAGGCGAATCGAGAAGGATGCTCAATTAGTGTTTGCCCGGAGTTTGGCAACCACTCGGAAAGAAACGCAAGTGGCCTACCCTCCATGTAACAAATCCTATAGATGCGGTAGACATCGGTAGACTATGTTTTTTCACCAGCTATGATGTGAAGCGTCATGCCGGTGCCGGACAAGGCACCGGCGACGGAAGTCAGGTGGTCACGTGAATGCATTATCCAGTTGCGCGAACCTTTAGGGATGCCAGGAAACAAAACTGCAGTGCAGGTTATCCGTACTCCCCATTTGAACATCCCACAACTCGCTCAACATAGCAACAGGTGATAGGTGATGTCCAAGCCAAGCCACATGGGAAATCTGGGGAGCCGTGTTTTGGCCGGTCTTGGGGAACGGCTTTACGTGGCCCAGGACAATGCCTGCCTTCACACGGTCTCACGGACGTCAACCTTCCAATGGGTAAAAACAGGGGGAACCACTGGGAACCACCCTGAAGGTTGCGCGTTTGATGTGTAGCAGGACTTTTTGCTTGGGAGCGGCGCCACATGTGCCTGCTGTCTCGCTAGCAAACCTAGGCAGGGTGCCCTGATGGCGACGGAGAGGGAGACAGCGAACACATGGGTGTCCAGTGAAAAAGGGTGCCTCAAAAACGAATGCGCACCCAATGTTCGTGTTGGAGGGCTTACCCCCAAAGAAGCACTCCAACAACCCCAGTACAGATGGGGTAAACGGCACCATTCATTCCCTCATGTTGGTTCAGTCATCCCTTTTACTCCTATCATGCCACATGTTCAAGCCCACCCAGTGATTCCATTTCCGTGTGTAACAGGTAGCCAACAAGCCACCCCTCACTTCCTGATGTCCTGGACTCTGTACTTTTAGTGGCACCCAATATGTTTGGACTTGTTTGGCCCATCCGCTCAGGAAGTGAAACGCTTTAAATGCCAAAAGGACAATTGCTGGTTACCTACTATAGTGGTAACTGGGATCCACTCGGCCATGATTGATTCGAATCTTCTTGGAAGCAATTGATGAATCAGCACCCCTTTGGTTTGCCGCTTAGCCTTCGCGTTCAAAGCCAACTTTTAGCATCTTTTTTCATCTTTCGGCTTTCCACTTTTGGTCCAGTAGAAGGTCCACCTCTGATTTCCAGGTCCCTTGCTGGGTAAGGGGTCGCGCTTTGCCTCCTTCAGCACCGGTTGACTCAAAGGCGATTCCGACTCAATCGCCTTCTCGGCTCAAGGGGCGCTTTCTCGCGCCTCGCTCGAGAAATCATCGAAGGCGCGCGAGTTTGGGGGCGATCCCTGGGTCCCTTAAAGGCTGGATTTGGGCCAGACAGAAAATCACTTGCACCCGTTGATTTCGAGGATTCCCTTGTGTTTCCAGGCGGTTGTTGCTTGCATCCTTCAAGGGGCCCTGTTGAACAGGGCCCATACAAGGATCGCTTTACGGTTGGAATGGGTTTATGGGTGGATCCGTTCATTGCGCCCCCGGATGTTTCGAGGAATTTCGACAGAAACACGGTCCCTTGCAGGATGCCAACTGCTTGAAGAAACCTGGCGGGAAATAGTGACTTTGTTTCGAGATTTCCTTTCAACAGGTAGTAGTTCCATGCTTGGCAGGGTGGCTAGGGCAAAACGAGACCGGGAGAAAATAACTCAACACATCTTAGCTTGCCTTATTTAGGTGTTCTCCAAGGAAGCTAGTACTTGTCTGAGTTGACAGGTCCCCCCCCCCACCATCCATCCATCCATCCTGCGTTTTGCACATTCCTTCTTATTGGGTGGGCATTTCCTGTGTCAAGCAGTGTGGCCCGCATGCCCCTGAGTTCAAAACACTCCGGGGCCTCCTGATAGTTGTGTTTTGTATCTTAGGGTAGGCCAAATATGGCACATACCCTCCCTCCGACGAACATGCCAACTCACAGGGGCTCCCTTCAAAAGCAAATTAATCTTCCAGGTACCTCCACACAGCTGCCATGTTAGTTGAAGAGTAAGCATTGTCTTGGCGGTTCCCAGCCGTCCCCTTAGCATTTTAGGTGGTTGTAGGGTTTAGCAGGGGGGGGGTGCATTTCACCCACAGATCAGAAAACACACCGCCCAGGTTCGGTTCATCAGGTTACCTTGTTTGGATTTGGATTTGAAGCCAGGTAGCGGGTAGAAATGAAGGAAACCACCCCTAACCTCCAGTTGTTGCAGAGGGTAGAAGTTGGGGTTTCCACCCCTAACCACCAACCAATCCAAACCGCCAATTCGAGGGAAACTGCTCATTGGACTCCATGTTGACATGGAGGCGGTAGTATATATATATATATACATATACATACACATATACATATCATATTTGTGTGTGTGTGTCTATATCTATATATCTCTATATTTATCTATATCTGCTGGAGAACCCCCCCCCCCCCCCAAAGAAAAAGAAACTCCGTCCATCCCCCCCTTTCCAACAACAAGAATCGTCCGAAAAGAACAAAAAGCCGTCCATCCCCCCCCCCCCCCCATCCGCCATCCCCCCCCCCAGTCGATGGATGGTGGGCTCCGCCGAGCTGTGGCCTCAGAGGGATCGATCCTGCCGGGGAGATGTTTCCCCCCGAGGAATGGAAAATGACCCCGGAGGATTAAAACCAAAACTGACCCCGGGAAAACACGAGGAACAAAAACAGGAGACTAGACCACGGTTGGCCCGAAAGCAGAACATCGCAAGCGAGGTCGGCCCAACGCTGCAGGATGCGTTCTTTTTCCCTACACTTCGTGAAGCAAGCGCGAGACAGCACCAGGCAAGGTGCTCTGCGCAAACTGGTCGGTGCAAGTTGGTCTGCGCAAGTTGCTCTACGCAAGTTGCACTGTGCAAGTTGCTCTGCGCAAGTTGCTCCGCGCAAGTTGCTCCGGCAAGTTGGTTGGTCCCTGCAAGTTGCTCTGTGCAAATTGCGCTCCCTGCAAGTTGCTCTGTGCAAGCTGCTCTGTGCAAGTTGCTCTGTGCAAGTTGCTCTGCGTAAGTTGCTCTGCGCAAGTTGCTCTAGGCAAGGCGCTCTGCGCAAACTGGTCGGTGCAAGTTGGTCTGCGCAAGTTGCTCTGTGCAACTTGCTCTGCGCAAGTTGCTCTGCGCAAGTTGCTGTAAAATGCAAGTTGCATCTTGCGACGCCCGCCCGCGGACCAGGGAGGAATCGAACCCGCGACCCGCCGGTTCCGGGAGCAGGCGCGCGAACCACGAGACAACTCCCGAGGACCAGTTCGAACAACAAAAAGTCGCGTTGAGTTTTTGCACCTCGACCACGCCGATTCCCGCAGAGGGTTGCGCGAGCACCGCAGAAATCGCAAAAAACCATGGGTTTTGGCACCTCGACCACGCCGATCCCCGCAGAGGGTCGCGCGAGCAGGTTAGAAATCGCAAAAAACCATGGGTTTTTGCACCTCGACCACGCCGATCCCCGCAGAGGGTCGCGCGAGCAGGATAGAAATCGCAAAAAACCATGGGTTTTTGCACCTCGACCACGCCGATCCCCGCAGAGGGTCGCGCGAGCAGGTTAGAAATCGCAAAAAACCATGGGTTTTTGCACCTCGACCACGCCGATCCCCGCAGAGGGTCGCGCGAGCAGGTTAGAAATCGCAAAAAACCATGGGTTTTTGCACCTCGACCACGCCGATCCCCGCAGAGGGTCGATTTTCGTGTAGTGTCGTCGGCACTACCCCGCCGCCCTAAGAAGAGATTTTAACTCCTCGCAAGTCAATTGCACTTGACTCCTTGCACTTGCAACTTGCACTTGACTCCTTGCTTGTTTCAAGGAGTCATCATTGCAGTCATTCATTGTCATTGCAAGGAGTCATGGCAAGGAGTCATTGCAAGGAGTCATTGCAAGGAGTCATTGCAAGGAGTCATTGCAAGGAGTCATTGCAAGGAGTCATGAGAGCCATTGCAAGTTGCAAGGAGCCAAGTGCATGGAGTCAAGTGCAAGTCGCAAGTGCACGGAGTTAAGTGCAAGTTGCAAGTGCAAGGGAGCCAAGTGCAAGGAGCCAAGTGCAAGGAGCCAAGTGCATGGAGTCAAGTGCAAGTTGCAAGTGCATGGAGTCAAGTTGCAAGTGCAAGGAGTCAAGTGCAAGTTGCAAGTGCAAGGAGTCAAGTGCAAGTTGCAATCCTTGCCATGACTCCTTGCAATGACTCCTTGCAATGACTCCTTGCAATGACTCCTTGCAATGACTCCTTGCAATGACTCCTTGCAATGACTCCTTGCAATGACTCCTTGCAATGACTCCTTGCAATGACTCCTTGCATTGACTTTCATGATGATGATTCCTTGCAATGACACCTTGTAATGACTCTCATGAGAACAACTCAAGTGAACCCAGCGGAAGAACCCTTCGCCATGCTTTCGGGAAAACAAAAACTCGGAAACACACACACACACATCTGAAGCGGGTGGCGTCCTGAAATTCGGGAATCCCCAGGTTCATTCCATGTCTCATTCCCTAGCCGATTGCGCACCAGCCAGGCTATGTGTGTGTGTATTTGTGTGTGTGTTTTGGGGGTGCTCCTCACCGGTTGAGTTCCGTTTCGGACTTTAGTCACTTTTCGGCTTGGACGCCATTTTGCTGGTAAACAAAAAGTTTAAACTTGATCTGGCCAACCTTCTCAGGAAGTGAGGTACCCTCACACCAATAAACATGGAAGCTGACGGGGGGTCCCTTCAATTGGTGGGAGGGTACCACTTTGGGGAGGTTCAAAGGGAAGCCAACAGGAAAACCAACAGTTTGTTGGGTCCTCTTATTTTGACACGGCTTCTTTTTGATTTCCCTTAAAATTCACCCACCGAAAGGACTCTGCAAACAAAGGGCCCCCTTTCAGGTGATGTCCAAACCAGAAGGAGAAATATGGGACAAAGTGCCAGGGTTGCTTGCAATTTGGTTTCAACAACTAACCTCTTGTTCCCCAGGAGAACCAACAAGATACTCCCGGACCTACAATGCCCACCATTTGTAGAGGAAACTCCTTTCGGGGGGGCTTTCTTTTTGGGTTCCAGGTTAATTTTGCAGGGGAGTAGTGTTGAGACAATATGTGTTTTCAGCCATGGCTTAGTCAAAGTCAAGGGCTGCAACTCTGTAACCCTACTCGAAGGAGGAATCCTACCCCCGCCACCTTGCCCCTTTTGGCTGTGTCGATCTCGGATTAGTCAACCGGGTGGACTTCATGCTGTGGATGGACAGAAACCCTTGGAATAATTCGATTTCCCTGTAGATACCAACAATCAATGGCTTCCCATTGTTTCAACCTGGTGCGAAATGGATTTGTATCGCGGGCTTCTCCCAAAGTGAAGCAGCCTCACTTGAATGGGGGAGACCCATCCGGGTTGACTCGTCCTGGCCCCACTTTGCCTTTTACAAGGCTGTACCTTTTTTGGGGGGGATTCCACCCGCAGTCGACGTCCTGCCTTTTGAAAACAAGCCCGTGGCGTCTATACTTTGGAAGCAAACTCCAGAATAAGGTTATTTACTTTCAACCAGACGATTCGCAAGCCATACCTCATTCCCAGAACCCATTCTGGTGCCTCCAGTTGTTCAATCTCTCAGAGTAGACTAGGTATGAAGCCGATTCGAGCTTCATTCTCCCAAGTTGGGCTCGAGCCTGCCCTGAGCTCAAGCTCCCCCCCCCAACCCCCTGGCAAAAGGGATTGCCCGGAGCCTCAACAAAAGTTGAGCCACAGGTTAGCCAATTCTCCGGGTGTAAAAGCCATGTGCGATGTCCAACAGTCTGCCCAGATTGGGTCCTTGCCGGTTCCAGCAAACCTTCTACCCACAAGGGTGGCCTAGGGGTCTGTGGGCAAGCCGACCTTCAATAGTTTCCCGAAAGCGCCCGAGTCCCACCACCAAACGTTCGAACTAGCTACTCTCCCTTCCGCAGACATAGCACCTGTGGGAGGGTACCTGGAAGATCATGTTCCTCTTGTAGGGACCCCTGTCAGGTGCCATGGCAGCGTGGGAGTGAGGGTGAATCTTATGTGTAATTGATCCGCCGCTACTCCCGGGGTGGTTTTCGAAGCTTAAAGTTAGGCCAGCCTTACACGTGCACAGTTTTCAAGTAAATCAACCGAAGCCAAAATGGGAAGTCAGTATGCTAAGGTTGCACACATTTAATGCAATTGAACGTGAAGTTGTTCCCTTTCGTCTCATTTTGGGACAAAGTGGGATGCGGTTCCCCTGTCTTCATTCATAGGAACCAGCTACAGGAAATTCTACAGGACCTTGGCCCAATCCCCGCCTAAAATTCAAGAATTTCAGGTGTATTTGCCTGTAAGCAAGGTTTCTTGGATTCACCCCATGCTTTGGCCGGCTGAGGGGCGGACGAGCTCGGAAATGTCGGGCCGGAGCGGGATGCCGACCTTCCAAGACATCGTGGATGCGCTGCAGCACCTCAGCGAGAAGTACGAGCAGGAGGTCCAGGAGACCCCGTTTTGCGAGCCCTTCGAGGTCCGTTTTTCGAGTGGTTGCGCTTGACAAGGCGGGTGAAAAAGGCCCGGCTGTTAAAGGAAAACCACCGTTGTTCGATACTCACTTGCTGAGGTGCTGGGCTTTAGGTGTGAAATTACGGTAAAACACCGTAGTAATACCTCACTTGCTGCGTTGCTGGGCTTTACATTTGGGTTTGGACCATTTTAGTGGTAAACAACAAATTTGGGAGTTTTGTTGGCCAATCCACTTTCCACTCGTTCGGAAGTTCCTTGTTAAAGTTTGGTCCACACGGCCGCATCCATTGCTCTTACAGGGCTGATTTCCCAGCTCCTCGGAGCTTTGGTCCCGAGCCTTTGGACATCAAAGTGCAGGGTTCAGAACAGGTACGTTTGTGGTGGTTCCCTATTCAAACTCATACCTGCGGCCCCCTCAGAGTGAAAAAATCCAATCCGTTTTGGAAAACCTGTGTTTAGGCAGAAGTGTGGAGAAAAGAAGCCCGGACTTGTTTACTTTGAGTACTCGCCATACTCTTATGTTTTCGCGCTCGGGTTGTGTTCAAACTACGTTCGAGCTGTTGCATTCCGTTCGAGACCGTTGAGTAGACTCTGTTCGAGACCGTTGCTTTTTCCTCGCGGAAGTCGGAAGCGTTCGGCCGCGTTCAGCGGCGTTCAGCCGACCGGAGGCAGAAGAACATGTTTCTTCGAGACGTTGTGGAAGACATTGTGGAAATTGTGGCTCCAAGGGGGCTCAAGGCAGGCATTCAGTAGCGCACCTCAGGCTACCCCCAATTGGTGTTTCGGGCTGGTGTTTCCACCTCTGAAAGTTTGGTTGGCCACTCCAAGGCCAATGGGGAAAGTGGAAGCCAGGACCAACTTGCTGATTCCATGACGTGGAACAGCTCTCACCCATGGGACCCCTCCAAAACCGAACTTTGCTCGTGTGGCCAGAACCAGCGTCAAAGTTTCACTTTGAATAACACATTCCTGGGGTTCAGTAGGATTTCAAAAAGCGTGCCAGCGGGTAAAAGTAAGCTTTTCGTTTGGAAAGCCACGCGGCCCAGCTGTTGTGTTCAGTAAAAGCAAATGCGAGTGCTTCTTTTTGGGGGAACTCCTGTTGCTTTGTTTTAAAAAGGGACCAACCGGAAACCCTTGTTTTCTGAATGACCGGAAGCCAACAGGACACCCTCTTTTGGAGGTCAAGGAAGTTTTTCGAAACGGAGGATCTTTTTATGCCGGGTGTCCAGAGGGAGGAACCTTTGGAGCCATTGGATCTGTTTGGGGCGGCGAAGCAGGCGGAGTTCTCACCCTCTGGACTGGTGGCTTGCGGATTTGGATGTGGATCTGTTTCTTGTAGAGGGCAAATGGCAAGTACTCGGGGATCGCCTCCAAACCGGGCCAAGTTGTCCCGGTAGATTCATTTGGTGGTTGGCTTCTTGTGAACCCCAAGTTGGATCCATCTTGCTTTAGGATCACTGCTCTGGACAAATCTGCAGGGTTGGCAGGTCTCATGTTTGACACGAACCGAACAAATCGGGAAGTTACGGAACCCGGGCTGTGGAACTCCTAAAGAGGGTCGTCACTTGTCCAAAGCTGACCTTGGTCCTTTTGTTTTTTTCGCTGCTGGTCCGTTGTTTCGGGCAACCCGTCAGGTTGGTGCTTTGGATCGGTTTGGAGTTGGATTTGACCCCCTGGTTCTTGTAGAGGGCAAAAATCAAGTGGGAATTTCGTCCTTCACCACCAAACCAAGGGGCTCCGAACAACCAAATAGACCGTTTGCTTCCAGTCCGTTAGCGTGAGCTCGTGAAAACCCGAGCAAGGAACCGCATCCAATCGAAGCATTCGGTGACAGGAGCTGCGAAGTACCGTAACCAAGTTGACCACCGAGAACCGTAAGCTCATGCGCAAGAGCGCAGATTCAGATGGCAGCAACTCGGTTCGAAGGTGAGCGAAGGCGACGGCAAAGGATTCGTCAACGACCATATCATTGATGTACAGGACCCTGTTATCAGAGGAAGGCCCAAAATTGGATCATATCCTGACAGAAAGGGGAACCATCCCGGATTCGCACGCTTCCCTTGACTTCGTCCGAAGTTAACATTGGTGGGTTCGAGAGCTCCGCCCTCGAATTCTCCTTCTGGTTTGGTTTCTCTATGGAAACCAAAGGGGAGCCCAACCAATGACGAGGATGTCGCCAGGGCAGAGACGTCTGAGCTTTGAGGCCTCTTGGGAGATGTCTGCAGGCAGCAATTCCTTCTCACTGAGGCACAAGCATTGCCACCACCTTCGGATCCTCAAACCCTTCGACGCAGGATACGAATTCACCGAAGCTCGCCAGCAAAACGGGTGCGGAGTTGCACAACATCCCAACTTGGGCCGTGAAACTACCCGCAAAAAAAGCACGGGAAATGAACTGATCACGGGGCAACATGCACATTTGTGGGGTTACGGTTAAACGAGCTCATTCACCTATTCTGGCCAGTGGGAAGACCAACTTGCAGACCTTTTGCGTTTTGATTTCTTCGTGGGATCTGGGCTGCCAAATGGCCTGGATGTTGAGCCTAATTTAAAAGGTCCACTACAAATGGGCCAGAAGCCAACATGTTCTTTTGGGTGGGGGGGCAAAGCTGAGCCAGTAATTAACCGCAATCACCCAGCTGATAAGTGGCACCCTTCATATTTTTGATGGTGGGTCTCGGTTTGAAATGGTTCTGGTCCTGAGTCAAAAAAATGGTTCCCTTTCTCTACCGTGGTCACTGGTAGCAGCCGGGAAAATGCAGGAACGCTCAAATGCCCGCCTGTGTGTTTGTGGGGTATATTGGCGTTTGTTCTCAGGTTGATCATGGCCGGTTTGTTCAGTTGGGGGTAAGCGGAGGACAAGGGAAACGCTGTAAATTCTCAGGATTTGTGGTTGACATACTTGCAATAGGCATGCACCGTAGCCAGGGTCATATTGCAGGAAGCCGAAGTTGACTTCTGCCCTCATCGTCGAAGAGCCGGACAGAAGCGAGGGGGAAGATTCCGCCGAGCCACTTGGCGCGATTCGCAAGGAAATCGTCATGTGCATCCTGTTGGGAAGCCAGTGGATTGCTGATTTGGTTTGGTGGTGGGGATTTGAGCCCCTGCCTCCTGTAGAGGCTAAATGGGAAACCACCTCCTAACCACCAAACAACCAATACAAGCCGCCAATTGGCGGGACACTGCTTATTGGACTCCATGTTGATATGGAGGGGGCATTCTTTCTTTCTTTTTCTCTAGGCATATTCATGTATATACACGTTATATCACGCGAAAAGCCAATGTATTATTTACACTGTGAAGCTTTGCTTTGACTTTATTTAGCGGTAGCGGGACCCGTTGTTTATTCCATGTTCTGGGATTTGAGCTTCCCATCCACGAACAGCACTAACATGCATGCTTGCCCATTTTCCACATGACTGTTGTCTGCCAAAAGTTGTTGTCTTCGATTCTGACAAACAGGCATGTGTTTGTTCCGCATCAGCGGGGGCGTGTCATTCATGGCACTCAGGGCCGGGCTTTGGCTAGCGGCTGGGCTAGCCGTAGCCCATGACTCCCTGCAAATTTATATGAAATTCATAAACGTGGTCCACATGGACATGCCTTGAAAGAAATAAAAACCAACGACACAGGAAATGCTCTAAACGTGATGGGTTTTGGATGGTTTTGGGGGGGGTTCGATGTTTTTCTCCAGGCCTTCATTGGAGGAATCTCCTTTTTGGGAACCCAATGTCGTGTCCCGTGCTGATTTTGCAGAGGGGTAAGAAAAGCTGGGCTCCATTCCCTAACTGAGTGCCTGCTTGATCACTTGGGGCACTATTTTCTTTACAGTTGAAATCCAATTCAGAGCATCACAAGATGGGAGGTTGACCCATGCACGGAGCTCCTGTGCTGGGTTCAGTTTTCCCACTTCGGGGATGCTTTCCCAGATGAGTATGTTCAAAACTTTAGGCTGATCGAACCTGACTCTCGACAGATCGGTCCAAGCATTCTTGGGCACCTCCAATGTTATACAGGCCTACAGGGGTTCCTACATTTCTCTGTCTGAACCCAGGCGATGAAGAGCTCAGTTGCATTCCCCTCCGCTCAAAATCAGGCCGCCAATGCGTTTTGCTAGAGAAACTCTGGCTTGTTTGATCTTACGGGCTCTTGTGATCCTGGTCGTGCTTCTGTCGTTTTACTCCGCCGGAAACCGGGCGAAATCAACCAAAGAGTTGGGCAGTCACTCGAAGCGTAGACGTTGTGAGTGGACGATCGCATCGTTACAACCTTGAATTTGGTTTAACACCTCGAAGGATTTCTTTTTCCGGAACCTCATGATGGATCTCGCGCCTAAGGGTGTACTCCTTTTAACTTGTTTACCCACTTCGATCTTTTCAGGACAGCGACATTTACAGTTTCGATAGGGCATGTTCTTCAGTCAATCTTGCCCATTGGTGCAGACAGTCGTGTCCGGTTGGTGCATGCAATTCTCGCACTCGCTTAGGTCGGACCCCTTTGTGAATGCGGAAGTCCTGGAGGAGATCACGCACTTGGAATATGAAGCGCGCAGGACGCTGGCTGGGTGGGGCACTGTACCTGTGTTTGTTTCTTTTTTCTTTGTTTTTTTTGGGGGGGAGGAGGCACGCGCAAGGGAGGGGTAGTTTGACCGCCAAGCGGATCGGATCCAGACGACAGTTGATTTGTTCTTCGCAGGCAACCCAACCAGTTCCGTTTTCTTGGAGTTGAGCAAAGACGTCCTAGAGGTTCCGAGGGAAGCTGGCGAAGCCTGCATGGATCTAGTATTAATGCTGTTTCTTGCCCCAACATGTGCTCCGCTTGGAGATTTTGGAAGGCTTGCGAGGTTCCGGGCGGTTCCGGGGCCCAGGATATCACCTGGGCTGATTTTTGGGCTAGAGGGAGGGCTGATTCAAGCAGTTGACTGCTGAAACGTTCAACTTCTCAGTTTGACCTTGGTTGCCATTTGGATCTTTAGACTTTTCACGTTTTGGCGACGTGTGTGTGCGTGTGTGTTCCTTCTAGCCAGCAAACAGTTATTATTTTTGCACTGGGGGGGAGGGGAGTAGGCACACAGAAACGCGTTTAACACAAGTTGGTTCTCCACCAACTTGTGCAACCAATTTGACCCTTCGAGTGGCCCTTTTTGGGACCCTGTGGCTTGGCAACTTGGACGATTCAACGCGTCGACTCATTCCTCCAAATGTCGACGGATTTGCTAGGTTCCGTGTGATTCCATTTTTGGAAGGAGATATGGGGTTTAGGTTTTGCGGGTACTCTTCCCAAAATTCAATCTGGAACCTGCACAGGGGTCTCCTGAAAAAGAACATCATGTTCCAGGAACCTTTGTGCAGGTTCTACGTTTGTTGTTTTGAACGTTCGGTTTTGGCTTTGAATCGGACGAATCCCCTTGAACCAAATCCACCGAATCCCCAAATGGCAGGTCCCGGACCCTCAAAGGCTTTCCTTCGCGCAACCCGGGTGGTGTTCTGGGAGCTCGTCGGGGCTTCGGGGCTGGGATTCGGAGGCATGAGCCTCAAGCGCAAAATGGCCTCAAGCGCAACTGTTTTTGGAGGGTCTCAGCCCGGGTTGGACAACCACCAGTTTTGGGATGAGCCTCTAGCACCGGCTCTGTCTTAGTTAACTTCTCGGCCCAACTCAAGCGCCACAGAGTCCCTTCATGATGCTCCTTCACGAAAAATGGTACGAAAAGTTGCTTGAACAGGCAAAGACGTTAGCAAACTCGCTCATCCAGTGCTTGAGAAGTGCAACTATACTTTCCTGAGGAATTTGGAGAACCCTGTAGGGCAAGTGCGCGGCGTTTGTGGCAGCCCCTTCTCCCCTCAAGAGACACCCTTCAAAACAACTCAACACAGAAACACAAAGAACAGACATCCCCCCAAAAAAGGGCGGGGGGTCTCCGCGGTTCCCCAAAAAAGGGTCTCCACGCTAATCCCTTCTTGGACATCACTCGCTCGATCGGGGGCGGCCGTGAAAGAAAGAACCTGCGATTCGGATAGGAAAATTGCGGGGGGCGGCTTGGCGATGGCGAACGCCTCCACCATGAACCATTACCAGATGAAGGACAGTTTTTATGGCCGTGGCTGCATCCTTCCTGTCCAGGAAGCATGGAACCTGACCTTGAGTTTGTTTTTTTCTGGAAGACGAATCAGTTTTCCTCACTTCCTGAGTTCCTGGACTTTAGAATTAGGGGTTGGGACTGTTTTATCTCAAAAGGTTTGACTTTGTTGGTCCATCCACCCAGGAAGTCAGAAAAATGGTGCCCCAAATGCCACCAGGGTGAACGGAAACAAAGACTGGAACTTGTCCAAAGCGAATCAACCTGGACACAAAAGTTTTGTGTGTTTCCCCTTTAAATCGGTGGTTTTGGTGGATTTTTTTTTCCGGAGCTTGACGTACAGCTCTTTCAGCATCCGAAGGTGGACGTGGGACTCGAGGGGTTGGGCGCCCTTTTTCGATGAAGGAAGGGCACTCGAGGGGTTGAGCGTGGGATCTACATGGGGGGCATGATAAAGATAGGGACATGGAGGGAGTTCTAGAGTTGATTCGGTTGCTTGATTGTTTTCTTTTTTAAAAAAAAGCAACCAATCTGATGATTTGAGTGTTTTGTGTTTAATACCTGCTTAAATTCCACGCATGCTATAAACACAAGAATTCACACTCTGAGGGTGGCCTGCTTTGTTCTGAGAAAGGGTTGCTGTTTATTTGTACTGTTTCATCGGGGTCAGAGGCGTTCTTTAGCATTTGTCGCAACCTGCACCCCCAAACGGCTCGGTTTGAGAGTAGTTCTCCGTTAAATTGTCTTGTGCTTAGCATGGACGGTCGATAGACCTCTCAATGGGATTGCAAGGGCAACTCCCATGAATCCTTCCAAGAGGAAGCCAAAGGGCATCTACAAGCGTTGATTTTTTCCTCATGTGGGTGTGTCTTGTTTTAGGGCTCCCCCCCCCCCGCAAAATTGCGCTTTTCGTTTTGGTGTCCCTTCGACAACTAGAAAGGTTGCCCTGAAAAAGGAGGCACGCATGTGCTTCTCCATTAGTTTCTGGACGTCAATGATACTTCTTGGGGAGACCAATTGTGAGCGAGCCAGGGGACCCCCGCGGGGACCGGCACCAGGGTGCCCGAAAGTTGGGTAGAGTTGGGAGAGCAAAGGACTGCAAGCTGTAGCCTTTCATTTGAGGTTCTTCAAATGGGCAGGACATGAGCTTTGAGCCAGCCAGCGTTTGCAATACTAAGTTTGCCATTCCAATTCTCTTGAAGCAGGCTCCATGTGAGTTAGGCGTTTCTCACTTCTGGGATACTTGGGAACCTCCCTTTGAGTGAATGATTGGTATGATGAGTTATTTAGTAGGCCTTCCAGTGGTGTCACAGTGGGCTGTTCCCGGTGAAGCAGTCATATCATAGGCTCACTTGCCCAAAGCGCATCGACCTTTTGACCTTTTGTTCTCCCTGTTTTGGTCCGTTTGTAGCAAAGGTCCCGAAAGGTTGATGGTTTATTGTCAAGTAGGGCATGTTCTATTTTGGTCGAGGCTTGGACGACTGCTTTTCTCGATTTGGGTGACCACGCATCGCATTCGCAGAGAGTTTGCTCAGAACCTGCCGCAGAAAAGAAGGGCGGGAGCTTCCTTCTGTGGATGGACGAAATTCAGCACATAAGAACCCTGACATGAGTGTTCCCCTGCAAATGCCGGCAAACAATGGCTTCTTAGGTGGTTTCTTAGGTGGTTTCTTAGGTGGTTTCTTAGGTGGTTTCTTAGGTGGTTTCTTAGGTGGTTTCTTAGGTGGTTTCTTAGGTGGTTTCTTAGGTGGTTTCTTAGGTGGTTTCTTAGGTGGTTTCTGTGGTGCGAAAGGGATTTCGCACCCACCAGTGCCAAGGACTAAGCGTATCGATGGGGGGAACCCCAGGGCTTCTCGAAAGGCAGGCGTTCGATTCCTGTCGTCAGTGAAACCCCTTCGGACAGCTTGCCATCGGCTTCGATGTGATTTTTTGCGCCAAAGGACACTCGTTTAGTGTAGCAGTATTGGGGCGTGTGATTTTTTTGGGGGACCCATGGAACCCCACAAGATGGTTGATCTTCCATTTGGTTTTCCTTTAAAACCACAAAACACATGGGTGGCCTCAAGAAACCACGAGCCTTTTTCTTCTGATTTCTTACCCATAGAACGGCTAGGACTTCTGGCGGGATGAGAAGAAGTCGCGCAGCGGGGCGTTGTCCATCCCTCCACCTTCCTCCACCTCCACCTTGCCCACCCGCCTGACCACCGTCACTGCGGCAGCGCCTCTGATCATCGATTCATCCGTGGCACGAGTTGGGAGCTGGTGGCGTGGATTGGTGGTTTTGGTGGTTTGGGATTCTTTGTGTCAACCCCTACATTGGCAGACACTCTATGCAGAAATAACAATTCAGGGCGAGCATATATGTCCTTCCCACCAAGCTCCCTGCGGTGGATGTAGGTGGTTTATCCGAGTATCCATAGTGCTTCATTCGCCATCTGAAGTGGCACATAATTTTGCCCATTAACGGCATGTTGTCGAACAGTATTCACTATGACCGTCTGGCCCTTATCCTATTCAGTGGCTTCTCCAACTGAATGTGTATTTTGTTGAGGCTTCACCTTGCATTTGTAGGTGTTCCCTTTTTGCTTGCTAGATTTTAACTATACATTGACAACAAACCAAAGCAGGAGCCTAATTCTTTTACTACGCCACAGGGAAGCTGGGGGGAAAGGGAGATGAACATTTTGGTCGGTACTGTTGATTGTGTGTGCCAATTTCCAATATTTGTCAAAGGCAGTTTTGAGCTTTGCTTGTTGTAAACTAGGCTTCCAATGAATACATCAACCCCCAGTACTGGAAAGGGACACTCCCCCCAGTTGAAACATACACCACTGGGCCTTGACTAGGGTCCAACCGTCGAGTCTTCATGCAAAACAGGGCGTCTTGGGTAGTTGGGGGCGGGGTTGTGAGGAAAAGGTTGGGTTTTGAGCTGTCTGGATCATCCTCGGTTACGTATTTTCTTGAGGGCACCCTTTGTTAGATTATAGTTCCAAGGAAACAACAAGTAAGCAACACCAGTACTCACTTCCTGAGTTCCTGGACCTTCTGAGTTTTGGGAAGAGCAGTTTAATGGCTCTCAAAAAGTTCGGAGATTTGTTGGCCCATCCACTCAGGAAGTGAGTGTACCGTGCACCCCATTCTGACACACGCACGCACTCCCAGTTCGTAGATGTTCGAACATTCACGGGGGCCTCCGGACAGCCCAACGAAAAGTGTCAAGGCCTGACGGATAAGGCCCTATTCCTATTGAGGTTTACTGAGGGTGTGTGTGTGTGTGGTTCCAACCTTTTGAACTTTTTGAGGCACCCGAACAACTGAAGCCTGTCAAGGCGACATTTTTGGGTGCGGCAATCTGAGCAACATGTTTTTTTTTTTTTTTTTTTTTTTTTCTGATGCTCAGTAGGGCATGGCCCAGAGTGTTGGGAATGGACCTAGGGATTCCCTTAAAGGAAGCCATAACGGGGATGGCTTATGGGGGTCATTCATTCCCTCATTCCCTGCTCGGCAAGTTTTAGGTGGTTTCGGAGCCGGAACCGAAGGACGACCAACTTTCTGTGGCTACAAATTGGACGGAATTTGTGTTCTGGAGTGCAGGGAGCTGGGAGGGTCAAGCTGGAAACTCTTGGGATTGACCGGGAGGCTGGAACCCACCGAACTTAGTCCCAACCCACATTGGTTCTTTCTCCGAATCCGCATCTGTTTATTGTGACAAGTTTGGCACGAAGGGCGGGGGTCAACTCAACTCCCTGGGATGGAAACCAGCTTAGACCCAGGTTCGGGGCCCTTGCTGTCGACTATGAGATTCCTCACCAACCGTTCGCTACAATTACCCCTGATTTGAAACAGGTCATTTGCATATACTCCCCAGCAAGAGCAACTAATCTGGGGGTGCAGAATTAAGGGCTGCTTACAGATGTTGATTCATTCTTATTCATTCTTAGTCAACCCCCAAAAATTCAAAAAAACGAAAAACATAATTAATAATTTTATAGGACCGAAAACAGATTCTTGTAGGGTGCAGCCCTTCGGTTCTGGATGTCAAACATTCCCCACGCCCAGGCGCTGGGGCTCTCCGAGCTATACCACAGCCAGGTGAGCCGCTTCATCGCCCGGCCGGGCGATCGAAAGCGCTTGGTCTGGGACCTGTGCCGCTTGGCCGGGAGAGCGAGCGAAAAAGCGACGGAGACAAATGGCTGTGGTGGTCAAAACCGTTTTGGGATCCCATTTAAGTTGTTTTTTTTCGGTGCGCCACACATTTTAGAACCTATTTTAGTGGTTGGATTGGGATGTTCACTGGGGGTACGATTTGGATTTTGACCCATGGCCAAATTTGTGTGAACGGTGGACTCAGGGGTTCCTGAACCCTTTTTTCTTCTTCGCTTTTGGCTTTTGGGGTTTGGACTGCTTCCTGGACTTGCGAGTCACTTGAGTTGTTTGCCATTTTATTTTGGCAGGCCGAAAGTTGGGGACGGTTTTTTGGTGGGCCCATCCAGGTGCAGGAAGTGAGTGGCAGTCCCGGATCTGGGAAAGGGGGTGGCTAAAACCACCAGGGACTTGCGCCAACGTTCACCCAACTGCAACCAGAGCCTGGGTTCCAAGCCTTATTCCGGGATCCCCGATCCAAAGAGTATGTTGTCGTTTGGGGTTGGCTAAACATGAAAATAGGAGTCAGAGCTTGCTTCAAGAACCCAAAGTCGATTTGGGACGAACTACAAAAAGCCGCCAAGATGAGGAGCTGGTCTGGGCAATTGGGTTGGTTGGAAATTTGAAGCTCGCAAGTGTCTAGTGGTGTGCTTGTTTCCTTTGGGGAAGAGTTCCCTTTATCTTCCCCAGAATTAGCTCCCCTTTTTCTTTTTTGCTTTTTGGGGCCCCCTTTGTTTTCCAGTAACCAGGCAAAAAAGATATTTGTTGCTTTGTTTGGGGAAGAGTTCCCTTTAAGGAGTGGCCTCCGATGGATTCCTGCGTCTCCTTTGAGATCCTAAATTTCAGGACGTACGCCGGATGGGCCAAAACTGGCCAAACGTGATGTTTGTTCCACTAGACGCCCCATTTTCTTGTTTTGTTCATCTTATTTTTTTTTGGGGGGGGAGGTTCAGGTGAAGCAATCCCAAAGTAATTTAGGGACACCGTCACCCCCAAACTACCTCAGAATGCCACAAGGGACCCGGCTCAAGGCGGGCTGCTCTTCATCGTCTATGACTGCATTGCCAGGGCCTCGGCCAAAAGAAATCGGGCGCCGAGAAAGCGGAGGCAGATGTTGCGCTCAGTTCGAGACTCCTGAGGTAAGGTGGCTCCCAGAGGGGGGGGCAAGTGAGGGATGGGTTGCAACATGTTTTGGGTTTTTTGTTTTTTGTTGTTTTGTTTTTTGTGAGAAAGTGTTGGGAAGTGTTCAGGCATAGATTGGATTTCTTGGCTTCCGTGCGGATAGTGATGAGTAGTGGAGAATACCTTCTGCCTTCTGCCATCGTTCCCATGTCGGGGCGGGGGTTAGATGGCACACACCAACATGAGTGACATAATTACACACATGTCTCCCCTCGCAATCATGACTCTGGATTAAACGTGTCTAAAAAAGGGACCCTCGTCCTCCCTTCTTTCTGGGATACCAAAGCCAAACCTCAGGGAAGCCTGGGTTCAAGATCGAAAGGCCTACCCCCCACGTTCTTTCCTGCGAGGCCCCCGAAGGAGAAGCCACATGTTGCGAATTAAAGCATTTTGGGGAGCAACAGCGGAAATGCCAACAATAGACTGCCAATATATTTCGCTGTCCCTTCCACGTGTGCCATTATCAAGAACGGATCATGATTTCCTCAGAGGGAGCCCTTGTGATGGTGCTCTAAGTTTCCTCTCTCGTGTGTTTTTCCTCATTTGTTCCCATGTCGCAGGCGATCCCTTTGAATGTCTTCGATCCGCCGGTGACGATGTTCTCCATGACGGCAGACTGGCCGGGGCACCCATGACCCAGCGTCGACGCAGGAGTCCCTGAAAATCCCATGTGACGTGTTTTTGTTGCTTGGTGTGTTTTTGGTAGTATTCATTTTGAGTAGGGGGCTGCAAAGAAGCAAGAACTACTGCAACCATGCTAAGGGTTGTGACATTTACCGAGATTTGGAGGTTTTCAGTTGTGATCTTGGGAAGGTGTCTAGCTTTCGGCATAAAATAAGCCGGATGAACTGGGAGGCGTTTCCCCCCCAGAAGCGGAGTACCTCTTAAATGGGCCACCATCCGAACTTGTCGACCAGAGGTTTGTTGATCCGTGGTTGTTGCTAGGCTTGTTTTTACACCAAACCCTCGAGGAGATCATCCCCTGAAAGATAACCCTTCGGAGGGTACAACCCGAGGGAAGCTCGCATTTGGAGGAAGGACGCAAATCCGGCAGTTTCTTTCAAAAGGAATTTGCTGCCCCAAAGGGGGCAAGCAAAAAACAACTTTGACTGCCCGGGAATCTGAAGAAGGAACCAGGGCAACACCCTACATAGCCGAATCAAAGGGACACCACCGGGGGGGAGCTAACCACCTGAAGGGGTCCCTCATGTCGAGAATCACCCTTCTGTTTGGTCGCCTTCCCGTACAAATGGGCGCAAGAGATTCTTTTTGGCCCCATGGTGCCCGCACAGATGGAGATGGGAGAACCAACAACAAAAAGCCCCAAACCACTCGTGGGCTGCTCTCGGCTTTAATTTGTTTGGAGGGAGTGCCCCGTCCAAATTAGCTCCCCCCCCCCTACAGATCAACATGGAACCCAAAAGCCACAACAGATAGAGGAAACTCCTTCTGGCGGACCCCCTCTTTTGGGTACCAAAAAGAGTGGCGTCTTTTGGCATGGAAATCCACTGCATGTTCTGGGAAGGCTCAAGGAAAACCAACGAGTTGTGGAAACACCCGCTTGTTGTTGGTGCCGAAGATGGACAACTGTAACGACTGTATAAGAGTAAAGGGCTGGCTTAGTTTGGTGAACGCGGGTCCATCCGGTCTATCAAAATGCGATATCACGAACATGGCAGTTCGGTGTTTGGTGTGACCCTAAAACCCCGGGAGACACTTGTGGAATGCAGTGGCTTTTCCATGGGACCGACAAAAGGTTTGACGACCGTTTTCTCAATGTGCTTGATCCATCGACCTCTCTGCTGAGGGTGACGTTGGCTTTCTGGACGCTCAATATTTGCCGCCCAGCTGCACTCAAACTGGCTGTGGGTCAAAAATAGGTACCCCAAATGGCACCCTGGTAAGGAAACAGGGACCCCTAGTGGTTTTATTTTGACCCATACCCAACTGGGTCAATAGAACCCCGCACCTCGTTGCTTTTATGTTTATGAATCCTAGGGTCTTGGCAGGTAGGAGCACCCCTGAACAAACCCTCCAGTTTCACATGTGGAACGAAACTCGTTCCCAAGCAAGTTCGACGTGCAAAGGCACCGATCCAGGAATCAAGGCTCAAAGTAGTTCTCCTTGACCCCTTGGTGGCTTCTTTCTTTTCGGCTCTTATCCTTCAGGTCCAGAAACTCCATGAAATTGTTGAAGGAATCAATTCGCTTGATCCTGGCAGGACAGGCGGAAAACACATGCAAGACATGTGCCCGTCAAGAAACACGGTAAGATATATGTGCAACCTCCCCCCCTTTACCAGCAACCAGAAAGTGCGAGTTTCTGTGACGAAACAAATGTTTCCACGGCCCTGCTTTTGCGCGAGAGTGCCTCACATTCCAACACCCAGACTCGGTCATTCCCCACCTATCGCACCAGCAAGAAAGCTCCCAACTGGTTTGGATTTGGATTTGAACAACCAGCCTTGAGACCAAACCATCAAGCCACCGGGCTCCAAACCACGCGGAAAGCTGACCTTTTTGGGCGTCCCAGGAAAAACACTCCTTAGGCGCCAGGCCGTATTTCGCCGTTTCCCGAGAACCCCCAAAAAAGAGAGAAACACCAGCCCACACTTTCCCAGCCATCCACGTTTTCCGCTAGGTGCCACGTTGACCACGGGCTTCGTGCAGGAAGGTGTGGAGGTGCTGGCACCCCGGCAGATCCTGAAGAACTACCTGAAGTCGTGTCCCGGCAAAAAGCAAAAACTGGTCTCCGACTGTGGCGTCGGTTTCTTTTTGTTTTCAAGGCTACAGGCGTTCCCCGTTTTCCAGGCAACAAAATGCGCGTACATGTATGCACATATATATATATATATATATATGTGTGGAGCTTGGCTTTGGGTGTTTGAGGGATTTTTGAAGGCCCGCCGCTTTCCAATAATGTGGGTCCCATTGGCTTGTTCTTTTTTGAAGGCTCGTTTTCCGTTTCCCAACACCCAACATGTTTATTTTTTTGAAGGCTGCAATTTTCACAATTTTCCAACGCTAACATATAATCCGCTGGCTTGTTTCTTTTTCAAGTCTGAAAGAGTCCCCTAACCAACGCCAAACATGGGTCCCATTTGTTTGAAGGCGACTGATTTCCCCCTTTTCCGACATGGGTTCCACCGATGGCATTCCAGTATATATATATATATACATATACACACTTGTTTTGTATTTGTCCTTTTCTTTTTTTTCTGGAGCTTGCTTCGTTCTCCAGGCCCCAGCATGTTTGTTTTCATGAAGGCTGCGGTTTTCCTTTTTCCAACGTTTCGGTGCAGCCCCGCTTTTGGGTCCCTGAAAGTGGCAAGGCATCTTGTGGGGATCGAATTCTTAGACTAATTTTGGGCTTTAAACCATCCAGGGGGAAAATTTGGAAGAGATCAATGACCTCCATCTGCTGAAATGCGTATTTTTTGAAACCTGTTGGTTTCAAAGGGATTTTGTCACCACTGGAAACACGTTGTTGTTTTTTCCCGGGGGTTGTATTTGATGGACCGACGTGTCGAGAACCCAGGGAGTATCAGTCTCCAAGTTTCTTTGAGCCTGGAGCCGAGGTCATTTCTTCAATTCATGACCGGTCTCCGAGACGGTCTCATATCTTGAAGTATGGAACAGAGTTAGGACATTTTTTTTTGTGCACCCCGGATGTGGGCCAAGTTTGGTTGTGTTTTCCAGACCAATTTAGCCAAGAATGGGTTCATGTTTCATGGCTTTCATAGCAACGGTGCCGACTAAAGGCACTCAGGAGGGTTTATTTGGTGTATTTTGTTTCAACGGGTACCTTTTTGGGGCGACTTTGAAGCGAACTAAAAGGGAGTGTTTGTCAAAGGACAGCGGGGGGGCGGGGGGGGGTGGGGGGGTTGGGTGGATTTAGCAACCAAGACGAGATTGGCTGTTGATTGAATTCAAAGGGTTTTGGTTTTTGTGCAAAAGGCGAAGGCGTTTTCTGGCAACCAAACTGGATGCGGATCTTGAGAAGTCCTAAGAAGAACCAACAGGGATTGTGGTTTGTTTCCCGAAAGTCACGGGGAAGCGGCACGAATGCAAGATAAGACGTGCATTTATGTTTTCATAGTAGAGCCACACGGGATTTGGATTTGCTCAATTTCTCGAAAAGGACGACGGGACATGTCCAAAGGGGAGGATTAGTTTGTAAGTTTTCCAGACCCATCATATGAACATTGGAGTGGTGTGCAGGACCGTGCTCATCAGAGGAATCTTGCAAAATGGATGAGTTCACCTACTAAAGGGGTAAAAATGACAACTCACCTTGCCCCGTGCCTTAGGTCTCAACCACACTCCGAGTAGGTGCCCCTGCAGCATCCCACAGCCCAAAGACATCATGCAGATAACCATATGGCTGTGGGCCAAAAACATGTACCAAAATGGAACCAACGACTAAAACCTGCGCAACCCTAGCTCTTGAATTTTGAGCCGCACCCATATGTACTGGAAAATAACACATGCCGGTCCCTCATTTGCAGCTCTTAGGTGGTGTATCATCGACATTCTGACCTTGGGCCCTGACTGGACTTTGGAGATCGTTGCGCACACATCTCAAGAAGGAGAGCAGCGCGGCATCGAAGCCACGATGTCATCTCCAGTAAGGAATTTGGGGGATGTTGGCAAAATGCTGTGACCATGTTTGTGGCGGAGAAGGATCCAACTTCACTCATTGCTGTTTTTGCCATCTATGGCAAACTTAGCCGGGAGTACAGCGAGCAATGCCACGCTTGACGATGGTCACATACCTGAGTATCTATTGCATGAGGTTTCTTGGCAGCATGTCGCAGGTCCTGCAAACGATACATGCTCGGCGTCATTTTTCCCATGAGGCTTGATACACCTGTTTGGTCCTGCCGTGCTGGTTTTGTTTTTTCGGGCTGGGTGGCGAGGGTTTGGGAAAAGCGGCTGGCCTAAGACCTCAGGCTTAACAGTCGACTTTCTGAACCCATAACCCTCAAACCTTGGGGGTTTAGAGCATGGGGAGAAATTTCAAGCATAGCCCTCTTCAACCAGAACCCTCTGCAACCAACACCCTCTTTTTTCTGAAACAAACACCTCAACCCATAACCCAGAAAGCTTCCACCATGGACACATTTCAAGCAGAAGCCTCAAGGACAGTCGGCCGTCTGCCGCTCTCAGGTCCTTCGAGGGGGGCTCCTCCATGAGACTCCTCCGGGTCTTGCGCTTCATGCGGATCGCTCGGCTCCTGCGCCCCTCGGAAGGGCTCAGGATGCATCCACCCAAGCCTCCCCTCCCCAACCCGGTCTCCTCTTAGGGAAGCCAACTGGTGGAAACGGGTGGAGGGTGGGCGAGTTTGGATTTTGTGTTTTTTTTTTGGAGTCATCGAAGTCAGAGAAAGAAAGAGTTGTTTCACTAGTTTTCCATAGGGCACGACAGCTTTAGGACCATGGCGCCCAGCTTCTGAGACGAACCAACTTTACGCGTGAACCATCGAGAGGAACGCAAGGCCTCAAGGCCGCTTTGGCCTCAAGGCCTGTGTCCGGAGTGTAAAGTTCATTTCCCCCGGACAAAAGGCAAGATCTTCAGGATGCAAGTAAATCAACCACAAGCCATGGTGGAATTTACAGGGTTCCCCTTGTTCCCAACTTGCCATCTTGAGTTGGCATTCACCTTTTCCAGGTTCAAAATCGACCCAGTGAACCGCCAGCATGATGTCCCAGGTTGAAAATTGATTTGGTTGTTCGCCTGTTGCAATCACACGATTTGGCATCGATCGTGCTGAACGGGGCTTGGGGGTCTCTGGCCAACTTGATGCGCAAAGGAGCGTTGGTTGGGTTCCAACAAAGCTTCTTCCGGTTTGAAACCTCGGCCCCTTGGATTCAATTCATTTCGGGGTGCGCTGGTTTCGAGGCATTGGCCCAGAGGTTCTACTCAAGGCGTATGGGGCGCAGGTGGAGGTAGCTTAAGTACCTTTGTCTCCGCTCCCTCGAGATTGCTGCTTGGCTTAGGGCTAGCGCTCAGTACCCTCGGTTCGGCGAAGCGGTAGGGAGTAAGCACCTTGGCACTTGGACATGGAACGGGAGTTCTTGACCAACGCCGAAATTGACCCTCGCCCAAATCCCACTGACTTGTTCTAACAACATCAGGCATGAAGCCAGCTCCAAGTTTGCAACAATGATTTGCGTTTGCGTGACTCCTAGTGCCATGTGGAAACTGTCATGAACATGTGTGACAACCCTGATGATGGACGAAATCCTGCACAACAGAAGATGGAATGATTCTTTTGTAAATAGCAGCAACAGCATGGTTTCCCTTGGTTTCAGTTCGTGGTGGTCTCAGCGGATTTCGCAACCATCCGCAGCATGGGAGGGGTGTTCTCACTGATTTCGAGTGGCTCAGGCCTGCTAAAACTCAAGTGGCTGCTGGAGACAATAGGCGCTCCGCGGTCGAAAGGGCTCCGCGGATTTGGTCCAGTGGGAAACCAGCCGCGCCCAAAAGGGCGGATTGTTAGCATGAGCTTCTTTTGTTGCGTCAGCTGGGTTTGGCATGGAACATTCAAAGATACGCCAGCTCGAGTTTTTGGCATCAGCCTGGCCCTTTCTTTTGGGTCACTTTTGATAAAACAAATTGGAGGTGCCTGTGCCTCTCCGGTAGGTCCTGGATTAGTTGCCCGTTCAGTTTTTGGTTACTGCCTGCTTGGGGTTCAGTTGTTACGTTTGAGAAGCCACATGTCTAGATTTATTTGGCGCCTTGTTTCACACATAAATCGCAAAAGTTGTGGCCCCGGCTGTTGCACGCGGATTTCGTGTTGCCCCTATGACTGGCTGCCGGTTTTGTTGTGGGGAGGGGCAGCTGGAATCCCAGTGAACGCAACTGACACGCTGCCTTTTTATGGGCCCAAGGGAAAACACAAACAAGTTCTCTTCAACGCCAGGCCGACTATTTGTGTCCATATCACAGTGTGTCTGAGCCGTAGTCACGTAGAAGCCCATTGAATCAATCGGCGCCAGTGCAGGGGGCAGGCGCACGTTGCATGGAGGTTAAAGATGCCTCACAGATGTGCCCGGTGCCCTTAATAAAATTGGCTCTTGTTTTACCATGTTTTATCTCAGTTTGCGTCGTGTACATGAGTAGGATCAAGTTCCGGGCCGCTATGAAACGAAATCGCCCATGACCATGGGAGAATCTTGTTTGCAGTTGTTGAGGCTCTTGGGCCCA